GCATATTAAAAAACACAACAATATAGGAAGATTAGAATAAAAGTATGAAGGGATATACTGTAAGAATTCTAACAAAAGAAATTTGATGAAGCTATATAAAGATCAAAAGATACTGACCTTTAGACAAACTAATTAGAGATAGGAAGGATGTTTCATATGGATAGAAGGTTTAATTTACCAAAAAGATATAAAATTATAAATTTTCATGCACCCAATAATGTGAAATAAAAATATACAAAGCAAAAATGGAACCACAATTGTTGGAAACTTCTATTACATCTGTGTAACTGATGAAAAAGTAAAAAATAAGCAATCATATACAAAATTTGAATAATATAATCAATAAATTTGACCTAAGGTATGTAGAGAGCATTGTAGCCAACAATGGAGAATATATATAAGTTTCATTTGATAAAAACTATCTGCAGGAATGAAGGAAGTCTCATCGAATGCATATCATGCAGATTTTGATTTCTAAACAATTTTAACTTAAAAAATCAGTAACAACAAATTAAAATGGAATTACTACACATCTATATGTAAAAATTGAAACTCAACCTGCATATTGAATTATATATTTTAAAAAGAACTAAGATCTTAGACCTAAATGTAAAGCTATAAAAATAATTAGAAAAACAAAAACAAGAACAACAGCAAAAAGTACAAGTCCAAACCAGAAGAAAATCTTCATATCCTTGAAGGAAGCAAAAGATTTCTTAAACAGGTCACAAAAGCCCCTTATTATAAAAATTAATGCATCAGACTTCATCAAAATTTTAAATTTTCCTCTCCAAAAGAATCTGTGAACAAATTAAAGAGGCAAGTCACAGGTGCAAAAAAAAAAAAAAACAAGTATGTGTGATCAATGATTTGTGTCCACAAAATTATAAAGAACTCTTGCAGCTTAGTCAAAACTACATTGAGATTTTCATCTCATTTCAGTTAGAATGGCAACCATGAAGAATACAATCAATAACAAATGCTGGAGAGGATGTGGAGAGAAAGGAGCACTTTCACACTGTTCATGGGATTGTGAATCAGCACAACCATGATGGAAATCAGTATGAAATTTCCTCAAAAGAGTAAGAATGGGACTCGCATATGACTGAGATATACCATGTCTCAGCATTTACCCTAAAGAAATAAAGTCATCATACCTCAGTGATACATACACATTCATGTTTATAGCAGCACAATTCACAACAGCCAAACTATGGAACCAGCCCAGGTGTC